CACTTTTGCTACTTCCCATCGACGTGTCCACCCATCTAGAAGCCTTTTCCGAGTTGACAGGTTTTACCATGGTGGCTCGACGAGCTTGCTCCAGCTTCACAAGAGTTCACAGGTTTCACCAGAGTGAGACTTGTAAACCGGAACTAGTGAAGCAGCGAAAGTGCAAAATGCCACCTCCCCCACCCCCCCCTATCGCTGAACTGCGCCAAAATCAATTATGTCAGATCAGTTCATCTGATCAAAACCACAATTACCTCCTGTAACTGCACTGGTAGGGTCAATTGTTAGTACTGCAATCTTCAAGCCACGTTCATCGATCAGTTCTTTGCCCAAAGCCTCAATGAAAGAAGACTTGCCGACTCCCGGACTGCCAGAAATTCCTGTGACAAAGAAATCGTCCACAGATAACGCTTAGACTCGTTGTACAGTACATACCAATGCGGTAAATCATAGCATCCTTCCCTTTTTCTTCATAACGTTTCCTTTCCGCAGCTAGTATACCCTGAAATTCTCGCAGAGTTCAAAAGATGGCTCTGTCCAACAAACTTATCGCAAACTCTCAAATGCTGAAAATGGTTCGAAACTAACATACATGGAGAAGCATATTTCCTTGTGCACGTTTTTTTGGATTTCTGGACTCCACTAGTGTAATCGAGGATGCTAAAGCTGCTCGTGAACCGGCCAAGACCTGCTCACGTAACCGTACAACCTGGAAGCAACACCGTGTTGGACTTCCAGAAAAGTTGAGTTGAGTCACCTCCTTACCAGTGGATCATCTTCAGTAACAGAATCGTCCCAAATATATTTAGCAAAGTCAGCTATTTGGATTTCGACAGGTACCGCTTTTTTAACACCATATACCACGGGTTGGATACGGCCCGCTACAGTAACTTTGCTAAAAACGCAAGTACAATTACAGAAGCCTTGCTCAAAGAACAGTGGAGGTGCTATGCGCTTTGGAAGGGGTCTAGTGGAGCGAAGCCACGTCTCGTTCCTACGCCGCAAAGAAGTTATGCTGCCGAAGGTGCAGTGAGAGGGTGACATGCCCTGATGAACAGACATGTCACGGTGTCTTAATGGCTAGGCCCCTCCTGAGGCACATAGCACCAATGTTAACCACTACCTTCGTTGTGGAATCAGCAGAATTGACTTAAGGGACGAGCACGGCTTGGACAGTCGAGGGAGGGCACGGGCGAACATCTGAACCACCCTTTAGAAACTATGCTCATTAATGTTATCTTCAAAAATGATATAGCCGGAAAGATGAGTACCGATAAGTGGTATCAAAAATACACAATGGGTAAAATATTTATGTACAACTTAATTTATAACAAAATCATCAACTTATTAAAGCAAATCTGTACAAGCACTGTAGACTTTGGGAAGATAGTTTTTAATCTAGGAGGAAGAGAGTACCGCTCGATGGCTCGATGGCCAGGAATCGGGCGCAAGTTCGTGAACTTCAGACCACGATCGTTTTTATCACATCTCAGTTTGAATAACTCTAACTCAATCGTGAAGAAACATACAACTTCAAAAAACCATAAAATGGGCCGCTGGCGCGTTGGCTACGAGGCAGAGCACATCGTCTAGCATCCTTCAGAGTTCCGCGCTCAATGACCTTGCAGAAGCGAATGATCCGGCGGAAATTTGGGGAAGCGGCGATTTGAAAGGACAAAAAGGTGAATCTGCAGTGTTCTCGTTATTTGAGGAGCTGTTCATACTTTGCGACTGAGGAGATTCGGCGATGTGGTAGGGGAGATTAGGCGATATGGTAGGCTCAGCGATTAAGATTGCACGACGAGGAAAGCTTGGGTACCGATCTGGCTTGGAGGGAAGGAACGACACGGCGATTTAGGACACTACTAGGGTATCAATCGATACCGGTCGATAGCAACTGCGAAAAATTCGGCGATCCAGCATTTCGAGAAGACTGGGCGATTCGGCGATTCTGTAATCTCCTATCGAATTTCCTCTAAAACCATAAAGTATGTATGAACGCGCCTAAGGAATTGCGTGAACGCTGGTGGTGGCACAGTCCGTCACTCTCTCATCCAATTTTTTCTCGCAAATTCTCTTCAGTCGCACATTCCCCCAGAATGCGGATCCACATCAATACACATACAAGGGTGGGCAAAAAGACACTTTTCTTCCTTGACTATCGAGGCGTTTTAAGTTAACTCTATTAAATTTTGAATCGACATTCTACCACACCATATTGAAGACAATATCGAATACTATCATGACACTGCACCGTAGCCTTCCGGACGAGCGCCATCGAGAGATCCTGCCACGCGACCGTGATCGGTACCTCAGTTCAGCGAGGTTGATTTCTCCGCCACTGTTGACCCTGTTGAACTCCGCTTGAACCAGGTAATTGAGGGGGTTTGTTCAGGTGACCTGCTTAAATATTCCATCTCCTTCAGGTACTCAACACCCTTCCATTCCAAGTAGGTGAGAGTTTTTCCAAAGCCCTTCGATTCCATAAGGTGTTACCCATCTATGTATGCAGGCAAGTTTTCAAGAAAGTACGGGCGACCACATGTGGGGGATATTCTTCTTTTCGAGTTGCTCGATGTAACCGCCAGCGCTCACCTTCAGTCCGGGGTCCACGAAGAAAATATTGGTCTTTCCATTCCAGGTACGTCCGGTCCATACCATCAACCCGCGCCTTGGCGACTGCGGTGAAGATGATGTCCTACCGTAGCGACGTTGTCGGAGCTGCTCGATGTTGGAGGTCTTCCATCAAGAGTACTGGTCACCAGGTATGGGTAACTCCATGGGTAACTCTATACAAGAAGTTTCGAACTGTAACTAACTGTCCATGGGTAACTCCATACAAGAAGTTTCGCAGCTGTTTGGAGGTGACGTGAATTCCAAAGGTCTTCTCCAGTCAGGCTGCGGAGATGACTTCATATTTTGGTGTACATGAAGGTGATGGGCGAGAGCCAGCTCCTGCTTATCGAGGAACATCTTGGGTATCTTCCGCCCTGGTACTCGTATCCACGTCCTCTGTCTGGGCTGCGAAAACTTTGCTGATATGTGACTCGGTCGAAGTGTCTTTTTTTACCCCCTCCCTGTACTTGCCTCTATCAACTCTTTCGAACCGCGCACACTTTCAAGTCGCGGATTTTTCACGCGCGTCCGAACAGCCTTCGACCTATAACGCTTGACATTTCACATGCCTCCTAGCCTAGCACTCACCGCCTGTGAAATTTGGCTTAAACCGGTTCGCGACAATAAAGAGAAAGCCAAACATGGCTATGTGAACATATCAAAATTACAATCTCTACTATCTGAAATAGCTGTAGGAAATCAAAGGTGTTGTATGTTCCGATGGGCAATTCAACATGCGACATCCTTAGACAGAGCGATTCCTCTGGTGTTCATCAGTAGGCGGTCCCAGTCGATATTCCTCTTGATCACCTCATCCTCCATCCACTTTCTGTAGTTATTTTTGAACCTGAAACTCGATCATCAGAACATTCACCTTGCATGAAAGGCAAAATAGTGAAAGAAGGACGAACCTCTTCCCAAGCTCTGGCTGTTTTCCTAGGACAGAATGAAGGCAATTATCGACAGGTTCATATTCACGAAGATTCACACGATTCAAGTAGTCATCGCCAGGCATCGGAGCATCGTTCACTTCTAAAAATGTCTGATAATAGCCAGCAAAAAGTCTCTGGGGAGGGGCAATGTACGGTAGGATTTCCTCAAGGACAAACCTGCCCGGTTTTTTTGTTCCAGGTGACGAGCGAGACCCTAACATGGCAGTTGAAGGCTCTAGCCTGCCGAGTTGCATCATTTTTCAAAAGCGCGCGGGACTTCCACGAAGTGGGCGAGGCTACTCACAGTAGGCGGGGCTACCGCAGCAATCCAAAACGTGGAATTTTCGAAAAGGGATCAAAATTTTGCAGAAAAAAAACAAAAGTAAGCGTGGTTCAAGGGCGGAGCTTGTGGTTGTGTCTAGTGCGATCTAGTTAATCAACTGCCCGGTCTAAAAAGTGTGGTAAATTTGATTTGAAAAAAGGTGGCTTTGATATGAAACGTGAATGATTTGGAAAAGTGGCTCTCTCGGTTGAAAAGTGGTGAATTTAGTCCGAAAAGGGTGAATGTAGTGTGGAGTTTTGTGAATTTAAAGCAAAATTTCCTATATATCTACGAATATGTGTCATCGGTAACTTACCAATAGCAAGTTGAGGATGTATCTTCGCATATCTCCGACTATGGAACCGTTCCACTGCTGCTTTCAGTTCACTTTCTTCACTGTGATAATCATATGATTTCCGCATTTCGTTCGCAAACGCCCAATCATCAGTCATACGATGTCGAACTTTGTTATAAATCGCTGACATTATATCCATATTACTTTTCCTCCATTGACGACCAAGATATCGCGACTGCATTTTCAGCGCTTTCAGAATGAAGAACTGGAACAGACCCTGGAAATGAAGTTCTTTAGTTTCTGTTAGTCAATCCACAGAACTCGCTTGAACTGGAAATCGTACCAGACGAATCTTCAATGAACGTTTCAGAATGGGCGCAGACTTGAACACCATTAACATCATTACTCGGGACTGTTTCCCCTTGACCAGCTTGTTGAGAACCCTGAAAAATATAGCTTGGGACCGACTTACGGACTCACAGGAGCACTCCTGAAGACACATTCCGCGATGGTATGCCCCAGGTGGTGAGGGGAGACGGGCAAGAGAATCGTAATTTGCCGCTCCGCCGCGCGCGGCGATGGGCGCGGCGTTTTCTTAACTCGTGTTAACCTGTCGATTGGAGCACCGGACTTCATGTAGACCCCATCATCGTAGACATTCATGACTATTTTCGGTTCTGAATTGCCTGTTGTCGCCATCTACTACCTGGAACCGTCATTGAATCGTCATGCGGGCGCGACGTCGCACGCGACGCTCATCAGCGCGGACAATGACGATTCTCTTGTCACATACCCGGTCGTGAGATCCAAAATTTGATTTGTAGGTGCCTACTGACTCAGGGGTAAAAAAGAGCACAGAAAAGCCTTCAAGAAAGGCTCGACCGGTAGTGAGCAATAGATGAGTATGTGGTGGATGGAGAAGCAAGACACGCTCATGCCGCGAGCCAGAGACTAAACAATTGCGAGCATGAGATAGATAGGCCGCAATAACAACACAGGTGAAGCACATAGCTTCCGTGCGCCCGACTCGAGCCCGTGGCACCTCGCCCGTCGCCTCCTCCTGGAACTGCCCCCCCGTGCCTACCGAAACTTTCCGGCACTATTTACCCTTTCTGCCACAACACAACCGAAGTTGAGCCCTGCATTTTCTGACCGACTTGTTCCCGTGACCAGGATTGGCTCCAAAATGTTGTCTCCGTGGGGTATTTTGACTCATCTCTTCGCTGAATACGAATGATGACATTCACTATTAACCCACGGAACCCTGGCTCGTATCTGGCGGCCGCGGCCTGCGCCTCAGCGCCCTGTGATGCTGAGGTATTTTGGCCCAGCACTGTAGCTGGCGGGCGGGCAGAGGGTTTTGCGAGGCCGAGCGGAATGTGATATTCGTGATCAGGGGTGTCAAACCACCCTAAGGGACAAGCTTTTCAGCGAAATTTTGGGTGATATCGACTTATTTGTTGGCCGCCAGCGCAGTGCGGCGCGCCAAGGAGGTTTCGGGTTGAGCGGCATGCCGATATTCGTGCTTCAGAACGAGTCGAACATACCTACATGGAGGCCGAGTTTTTAGCGAAATTCTGCCCACGAGAGAAGAAAAAAGTCGGTCAGGAGCTGGGCCTGGATTTCGGATGACTGGGCGCAGAGAAAGGTAAAATACGGCCGAAACTTCTTGCTCGGACAACAATCCCAGCCCCCTCGCTCTAGACAAACATTTCGCTCCTCTGATACTACGGCGCCTTCTTTGGCCACCCGTCCTAGCTCACTTTTTCCAGACTCCCACTTCGCTTGATACTTTCGATGAGTTTCTTTTTCCGTGAAAACTTTGAATAAGACTTCCTATAAGTCTCCTCCCAAAAAAAACTGCAGTGGAGATGGACAAGAGGAGATGGGGTAAAATAGGGCGACTTGTCAAAGGAGGAAATTCAGAAAAAGGTTATTACAAGGCCATTAATAAGTTAACTTCCTAACAAGAGCCGAATCCATGACCAAGCGCCTCCCGGTCCCAGAGAGCCGCCCTTTTGCGGGTTGGTGTAACCGATTCCGAACGTACGATGTGCCTTGAACACAATACAACAGTAATAAGCTTGTGGGCATTTTCACCGGTCATCGCAGGACCTAAGCGCTCTCGCAAGGTGTTGTTGAGCGACGAAAATGGTACTGGAAGCCGGCATGCGACCACAAGTGGAAAATGGGCTGGTGATGCGCCACATTCAACTGCCTGAGGCGCCCCAACATCCACACCAAACAAAACTCTATGGTATGGTTGTGAACATGCACACCCTCCCCTCTGTTGACTAAGCGCGGAATGTGTTCCAGAGAAAGTTCTTAACGTACCTTATAAGATTTATTGAAGAGAACATGTTTCTCCACATGTAATACATACCCCTACGCTCGCTATCACCACCCTCTACATTCTCTGAATTGAGCACAGGCCATTCATCTGAAACAACAGCTTTCATTCACAACATTAAAAAAAACTTTGCTGGCCGTGGATGTTGCACAGGTACGCAGTCAGGACATTTGTTGAGGGATAGATGACGTGCCAAGACGTCACATACACAATAGTGACATCTTGAGACGTCACTGACAATGACACAGTGAAAGTTGCCTTGTTATTAAAGTATGATGTGACGTCAACAGACGTCATTTCCTTTCTGCTACCCTAGCCGCGTTCATGGTTTGCGACTGCGCGACGAGGCAAATATAGGTATCGATCTAGCGATCTCGAAATGATTGATCCGGCGATTTGGGAGACTCGGCGTCATCGGCGATTGCGCGCTAAAGGAGTGGATGAGTATCGATCGGTGCCGGTCGCTAGTGACTGCTGAGATTCGGCTATCGGCGATCTTCTAAAACGCCAGATCGCCGAGTCTCCCAAGTCGTCGGATCACTCAATCCCAGCAATCTCCAGATCGATACATACACTTTCCTCTTCGCGCGATCTCTCAAATTGCCGAATCACCTCAGTCGCAAAGTATGAACGCGACCTCACATGTAACTTCCCTGTGCTACGCCTGCACCCCCCCCCCTCCCCCACTTTGCAATGAAGCATGTATACTTACCTCGATTTCGAACGTAATGCAACGGTGCTTGAGGATAATTATAGGGATAAATTTCATAACGAGACTGCACATAACGTGTCATATTTTGGTCAAGGAATTTCAGAAGAAGTGGGATACCGTTTCCATAGACCTAAAAAAGAATTATTTGCCATGAGCTTCTCTGCGCAGAACAGATCAACTAGGAGACGAGCGATTCTATCATAAGCAGCCGCGCGCGGCGAGACGCGCGACAATGTCGTAGTCACTCTACCGCATCCACACGAGTTTTCGTTGCATCAAGAGATTGCATTTGTCCACGGCGTGCTCTAAAGAGTAGCAATGGGATAATGGGACCTTTAAAAATTTGAATGGTCTGTGAAATGGCACAACTCGTACGCAAATGCTGCCGTGTCACACGCCACGCCCATCACCGCGGCGACCCACGATAGAATCGCCATATGTCCATGTCAACTAAACACTTACAATATGCTGACTCAGATATTCAAATTGATAAATATGGTTCAACCGCAGGTGTTTCATCAGGAGTAAGAGAATTGACGACGTCGCCTTTACCATAATCTGAAAGAATTGATATCCTTTGAAAAAAAACAATGAAAATCCCTGAACTAACCTCTTTGTGCCTATTTATATCGATGGCTAAGCGAACGCTTTCCTCAAGCGGGCTGCTTGTCGAATGATCAAGACTTATAGAATTCGACAGAATGTCACATCCATCCGTTTCTGGTGTCAATACATCGACCAGTATGTTAAGAGCGTCATTTTTAGCCTACAGAAAACGAAGTTGATTTTTTCAAGGCAGCAAATCGAGCAATTTTGTGTTGAAGGATTAAGTTTTACCTTGTTTGACGGTGCCGCAGCAAGTAATACTTTCAGAAGAGCGACCACATACTGACATAGATTTGGCAGGAGTAAGCGGTAGAGTTCTTCCACGTTGTTCATTTCGACGTCTTCCTTCTTGGAGAACAGATAGCGATTGTACTCTTCATCTTGCGCTGCCTGAAAAATGGGGATTATGACTACAGGATGACCTTTCTGAGCACCAACACAGCATTGTTAGCTATAAATTGCACAGTAACCTCTGATAGCGGTCCTTGCCATGCGCGTCAAGAAAGGGATAGTTGCAGTAGCGTACCACTTCTCCGCAAAAGAAGGCGCGAACGGGGTCGTGTAGGAACCGAGAGATCCTTTTACCCACCCGCGCTATACTCAAAGTGCTGCTCTTGCATCGATACCAATGTCCTCCACACCCCGGTTAGAGTTAAGAGAACGACCAGACAAAACAGAGCGCACACAAGAAGCGCGAATTGCTATGGCTAAGCGCCGAGCTGGCAGTGCGGCAGCGCATTCAGAGAATGGAGACGCGTGTATCAGGCTGCATTCACACGCCACAATTTCATTATGCCCAATCCAGCTGTCTCCTCACTCATCACCTACTCTACAAGCACTGCTACCCTCCTACTTCCCCATACTCTCTACTCCTGACCTCCGTAAAACGCGATGCCGCCGTTAGTAGGATCGATATATAACCTTAGTTAGTGGGGAAGCTGACGGATGTTCGAAATGATAATTCCTCGCCGGTGGACGCTGCCGCAAAGTATGAAGCCTCACTACTCTCCAGCTCTGTTCTTAAGCCGGAGAAAGTAGCACGCTAGCTCATTTTGTCTCCAACTGGCAATATTATTTAGCATTGAGTAAGTTATGCCCGTGAATACTAAGTACCTAATAAGCTCGCGCATACCTGAATTTCTCCTATAGAAGTGTAGAGATGTTTACGTAACGCTTCCACACTACGATGTATCGGTGGCGGTAAAGCGAACATCGTCTCAAGATCACCCGGCAACTGATATTGGAAAAACTTCTGCCTGAAGAAAACCTATATGGTCTTCATCGAATCAATGAACTCTGAGCATAAAGCTCACCTCTCCTGTTGGAGGAATGCCTCAATCTCCTGTTTAGATACCTTGCTGCGCCATGGTAAACTTCTCTTCGGGGGTTCACGAGGCATAGGGGACCCAGCTCGAGGGGTGCGGTCACCGCTAGACACGTGTCGTAACTCGGACCCTAAATTTTTAAGTTCACACATCAGTTCACACTAAGACAACAGCGACGTCACTTCTCAAAACCTCACCGCGTTTAGCTGACCCATCAACATCCAGAATGTAGTCGTCACCCGCTATCGCTCCTGAAAATAGAGACGTTGGAGATTGTTTACGGGAATACAAACAACATTATTGAACAACCTATGTCAAACTCTTCATCTCTAGCTTCTTCGCTACCAGCATAGGCTAATTGTCGCGCCATAACTCGTCCAATGGGAACGATGCGGCGTGCCGCCATTCTTGCTCCTTGAATGACATGCAATTTACACAAATTTTATTATAAAGCGGACACTTTTCACACAAAGAGATGCTATTCAAATCAAATTGGTCACATACTTTACACCGGACACTTGACTGACCAGATTAGGCCATGCCACTGCAAGCTCCGCCCCTATAAGGAGCTGCGCCCACTTCGTGGAAACCACGCCCGCTCTCGTGAAATACCTCAAACTAACAGGTTAAAATATCAGCTAGCAGGCCAAAGTCCCGCGCGTCATTTGGAACGGACCATGGGCGCTTTTTTTCCGAGCGACGAGCGAGAGACTCTAACCTGCTAATCTGAAGCATTTTGCCAAAGAGGTCGGGGCTTCTACAAAGTGAACGAAGCTTCCCGTTGCGGGCAGGGCTGTCAGGCAGGGCTTGCAGTAGCATTTAGTATGATGTGCTTAATCAAGTCCGGCGTAAAGAGTGTGTCCGAATTTATTCGATTAGTGTCCGATTTGGCTTGAAAAATGTCAATTTGAAACGAAAACAGTACAACAAAATCTAACGCACTTCACCCCCACACTTTCCGCCTTCCGAAATTCAGGCCATATTTTAGGAGGTTTCGCTCAGGAGAGATTTGGCCAGAACTGTGTCCCTAAGAGCAGTTTCACCCTCGAACGCAAGTGAAACATCCGTTTTGTGGGGCGCCAACCGTTTTCGCTGCAAATGAATGCGCACTCGTGTTTGAGGGTGAAATAACCAGTGGACAAATTCTGGCCAGATCTTCCCACGAGGAAGGAACTTATCCGAAATTCGAAAAGGAGAGCAGTAAACAGTGCAGAAATTTTTCACAACATACATCTCCACTCAACATACCAGCTTCGCCGTCGTTAATTAGAGTTGCGGGCAAAGAAGAAGCCACTGCTATTGTGTTTTCCATTACTTGAAGGCCAAGTGCAGCTCTTTTCGAGGCTTTCATCGCGTCTAAGTGGCGCCAACCACCTAACGTTGCAAGAAGAATCTTCCATATAAGAAGAAGGATCTGGAAAAATACAATTCCAGGAAAGTCACCAAAACGAATAGAAGGTATGAAAACGGTAAGGGTTCGGAAGGCGCTAGTCCATCAAGATCGCGTCATTACTTTGCTTCAGCGTTCCGAGCGTATGCTAGCGTAGAGCAGCATTTCGAGCAGGGCACATCATTGGTTGGGGTTTTGAATCGACTCTATACGACCCCTCCCCCTTCCCCTCCTTTTTTGGGAGTTGGTACGACCCCCCTCTACAATCAGATTTTCCCCAACTTCCTGCCTTTTTTCCAAAATTTCCCGAAAACTTCCCTACTTTTTACCAAAAATTTTGCTGTCGAGCGGGAGGAAAATCACCAAAAGTCAACCGCCACTCCCACAACGCCAAAACGTAAATACGACC